GAATTGTGCCATGGGAATCATGCTGCTTTAGTGACAGGCATGCAGTTGTAGTATTGGAGCAGCTGGAATGTGAGTAGCTCGGAGTGCGAGGCCATGTTCCGGTCAGGTTTGGCAGGGCCTGTCTCTGGTGGGAACGGCCTTGTGCCTCTGCATGGAGCTTGTGGCATGCACTTGAACACAGCTGTGGTGACCCTGGGTGAGTCCCTCGCTGGTGCCACCAAGACTGAAATGGCACCATGGGGAGCCAGCTCAGTCCCACTAGCAGCACAGAGGAGCCTTCTAGCTGTGTGTGCTGTGCCCACGTGAGGGATAGCAACTGGTGTGAGCTTCCTTGCTGGTGATGGCACAGCATGGATGTGATCTTAGAACAGTTACGTCGTAGCAAATCAAATTCTGGTTCTTCCTTCACCTGCACGCAGCACTTCAGACACCATCTTTAATGACTTACATTCTGCTGTACCACTGCCCAAAACTTTGCTAGCACAGATCCCTTGCTAGATCTGAAAATACTTTATATAACGATATTGTAGCAAACTTTAAAGCAGCACATGATGCAGCTGACTCCTCAATAGCCATCAGCTGAACAATCATTTGGTCTTAAAAGTTTAGCCTCCCAGGCAAGGTTTCAAAGTCTTTTGTGATGTCAGTATGAACGCTCCCATGTGCCGCACAGAACTTCCCCATCTAACCCAGCATAGGAAGCTTGGAAAAGCTTTTCAGTGTAACTGAACTAGTGAGGGATAAATCAGGTGGCTGTACAGACAAGGAAGTTTTTCTTGCAAGATGCTAGCATGTATTTTGAGAAAATGAAGCAAGAGCCTTTTGTGCCAGGACTTAGACGTTCTAGAAGCAGATGCTTCATATTTTGAGAGCAGGTGTATTGCAACAGTTGATGCTCTTTTCCCCACAAGACTCTGTGCTTTAGCACTGAACAGGAGTGTTCTGTTTACTGCACCATTTAATGGCACTTTGACAAAACACTTGACTCAGTTGGTACTGAATTTCCTTGGTATCTCATAAATACTATAAATTATAAATACGAAGTAAACGCTGGCTGATTACTGGCTAAGAACTGAAACCGTACCAGGCATTGTCAGGCTTGTGGCTGGGGGCAGTGTAGGTATCCAATTGCCCGAAGGCCTGTGCTGCATTTTAAATTGCCTAATGTTTCAGTGCTTGCAAATGTAGAATGAAGATGCTGTACCAATGCAAAGTATAGAGGGAAACCAAACAACGAGCTTTCTTTTTAACCTGCCTTATCTTGTATTCTGCCTTATGTCTTGCTTCAGATTGCTTTGCTATTTGCACTTCCCTTGAAACTTCCCTTGCTTATTTCTCTTCCCTCAGGTGTCTCTTCTCCTTCCCTTCTAACTGGCAGCAGTCCCCTTCACCTGAGAAGTGGGCTTTAGATCTGCTCTGCCAGGCAGCTTGCTAACTTCTGTGTAGCTCTCTAAAGCAGGTAGATACCATCTTGCAAAATGCACGCTGCACTTGCTGCACTCCAAGTAATAGATGCATGTCTAGAACTATAACAAATGTGTGGTCCCAAGCTGCAAAACACTGATAAAGTCCTCTTCTTCAAGCACACAGGAGCAGAAAATTAATAACTGCAGTGGCTGGTACTTGCTGGTAGTACAGATTAATTAAACTGCTGAAGGAGGTTAGGAGTCCTCCCTAATGGAAAGGTCTGAGGGACAGGAGAACTAATGGAATTTTTGCACTAGGATGTGTAGAAGTGGGTCTGGCCTTGGCAGGTGCCTCTGGGCTGGCAAAGAAGTCCCCTGCTGAAGCCAGAGAACTTTCTTTTTTTTTTTTTTTTTTTTTTTTTTTTTTTTTTTTGACCACAGGCACTACTTGCTTTGCTCTCTTGCTTGCAGTAGTATTGTGGGACTGTTTGCAAGGAGACAAATCATGCTCTGATGGTCCAGCTCCAGGCTGTGGTGTGAGAAGGGAGGGTGGGATGTGAAGGGATAGTAAATGTGGGGCAGCTCAGTGAGGGTGACTTAGAGTAGAGGACCCAGCAGAACTTACCATGCTGAAGATGAGCTGTATAGGCTGCAGGTCCAACACCAGGTTGGTTGCTGTATCGATGCAGGAACATGTTGTGGGTTGAGAGTTTCCTACAGTCACTGATCTCATAAGAGTTGCTGTTGAAATGCCTTGTGCTGCAACATGACTTTTTATTGCATTCGTTGAAAGTTTCTGTACGACTCAGTTTTAAACTCCAAGCTGAGGGAGAGGGGCTTGGTCTGCAGTACAAATCTCACTGCCCTTATAGTAATTGGCCTAGAGATTTATTAATGGTAAGGATTCTATATCTCCAGTACAGAGCTGGTATATCTCAAAAATGCTGCTGCTTTCTCCAACTGAAGGCGGAGCTGCCTTGACAAGCACTAGGCAGCTCTGTTTGTTCATGGGACTGCCCCATGAACATTCCTTTAAATATTCAGCTGGGAAAACCTTAGCAGCACTGAAAGCGTCAGTGTGGAGCCCAGTAGTGGGGAATGTGTGCCTGAACTGAGCGTGCTTTGCTCCTGCAGCAGGTCCTTCCCTTAGCAAAGGAAGGCCACCCCCTCCTTGCTGCCACTTCTGCAGCAGAAGGTGAGATGGATAATGCTGGTGCTTGGGGCCCTTCTGTAACTTATTTGGCATGTCAGAATAAAAAATGCTGAGCAAGTCTGAGAATGGCCTCCACAAGGCACTCCACTTAGTGGACTAAGATGCCTTAATTCCTATGTTCCTAGATTCCAAAGAATCTAAGTGAAAGCTCTTAGATACTATTGTTTCAGGTGTCTGTTTGATGTATTATTTGAGTGTTACCAGAGGGAATAAAGCTGTTCAGTTGCTCCTCAGAATCAAAACTAATCAGCAGTATTCTGTTTTCCTCCCAAAAGGCCCTGGAGTTGCTGGTTACCTTACTGCAGGGACGACATCATCTGTAATGCCCAACGTACCACCCCCGGTAGACAATGAAGTGGGAGACGGCAGCTAAGGACTGGAAATCTCGTGAAAGAGACAAGGGCAGACTGGCCAGTGATGAGGAACGGCACTTTCCTCCAACACATTGAAGTGAACTTACTGCCTTTCCAAGTGTTTAATGACAGTGTTATTCCTTTTTCTATAACTGTTGGTTTGTTTTTTTTAGGAAAAGTCAGTGATTCTAACTATCACACTGTAACACAAGAAAGCACTCTGTGGATCAGCTGAAATGGGTACACAAGAATTTTTTCTTGTTGTACGTAAGCACATTTTGTTCCTTTATATTTGTTTACAAGACTGTGAATCAAACTTTCCTAGTTTTTATATTTTATGACTTAGCATGACTGGAGTTGAGCTACAGTCTAGAGGAACTGGGCTAAAATCACTTTGACCTCACCAACCCCCACTAAAAGGGCACCCCTTCTTTTCCCAGTCTGTGATCACCCACATTGAACGTGACTCGCAAGGGGTTTGTCCCTGCACCAGTTCACTGATGTCCTTAATCATTAACATTATCTTTTTCCTGACATCAGACAGCATTAGACATTCGTATGTACAACTGGCTTGACCAAATTGACAAAGCTTCAGCAAAAAAACCTTAAAGTTGACATGTTATGTAAGAAATTAGTGTAATTGTGAAATGTTCTATACATTATCCAGTATATAAAAACTTTCTATATTGAGTGTACATTATACAGATCATTCATATGTACATAAAATTTTAAAATAAAGGGAATTAAGAGCCTTGTTAATGAGAGAAAGGTGGTGGTCTTAAGTAGCTGTTCTTTAATAGGGGAGGAAATGAGAGTAGATAACAGGAATGCCCAGGAACCCTATTTTCGACAGACACATCGTGTGGGTTTTGACAGCCTGAAGCAGAACTCCCAAACCATGGGTAGTGCTGCAGTGCAGGTTGTTCTGTACCTGAAATGGCACTCCAGCCACTGACTTGCTGACATTCCCAACTTCCTAAGAAACATTCTTGGCAGGAAGCAAGAGGAAATGAAGGTGTATGGAAATATAAACAATAATTATTGCTTTCTCAAAAGATTGTAATCATGATTTTAGTCTAATGAACTGACAGGAGATACACTTCTTTGTGGAAAGCTTCCAGGTCTAGGTACTCTGAAATTGTGCCCCCCTGACTGACTTCATCAGGTGTAGCTGGAACACCCTGCGGGTGAAGGCTCGGCAAGAAGAAGACTGAGCCAAACAGGGCATGTTCTCTCCAGGCGTGAACGCTGTGCTAGGGTGGTTGGTTTGTTCATGCAAAAAGTAAACTCTTGTACCCTGAAGTTAATTGTGATCAACCCTTTCTGAGCTGAAAAGCGATTGTTCTAACTTTGTAGTAAGTAGAGGTACTGATGGTGCAGTATGCTGTGGTCTGCTTGGTTCTGGTAATGTATGAACAAGTTCTTTTGTAAGCAACTACTGTTTAAGATGGTTACACAAGCAGAGCTGAGGAACTCTGACCTTTTAGAACTTGACAAAGGTGTTTGGTAGCAGTGGTGGCCATGAACAGCCCTGTGCCAGGTGCAGCCGGTTTGGCCAAATCAGCTCCTCAAAGGGCAGGTGCCTCCTGTGCTCAGGCACACTTAAAAAAGGGTGGGAGGGGGTTTGTGAGGGTGCACAAATGGAGACAGAGAAGGACGGGTGCAAAGGAAGACAAAAGGGACACCTGTAAGGAAAAATGTGAGGAGATGCATCTGGAGAAACAAAGCAGAGGAGTAAAAAGCAAGGAGTAGCAAATAAAGTGCCTCCTGTGCTGCCCCCCAGCCTCACCTGAGGAGAGGTGGGGGATGAGTGAGGGCAGGTGAGAGCATGAGGGAGGGTTGGACTGCAGCTGAGCTTTGGAAAGGGAAAACAGGCATTACCCTAAGTGTTTAATTGTCATTTAATAAAAAAATTAGAAATTTATCCTAGCTTGCAATAAACTAAATTGGGTGAAACTGAGTCAGAACTGCTTTGCCTGCAATAAAAGAATAGAGGACTTTGGCTCAGAGCAAATAAAGCACTTCAGGCCTGTTAAAATAGATTTTATTTAGTGTTAGAAACAATCCAGACAAATTCCAGTATTTACAGGGCATTCTTCAAAGTTTTAAAAGCAAGCCCCTGATTAAGTGTTGTAAATAAAGAGGGAGAGAGTATGTATTGCTTCAAGTTAGAATCAGATTTTTTTGTATTCATCCAATTTTATCTTAAACGTTAGTGCACTGAACAAAAGCTTTCTTAAATCTTCCATCCATTTGACATGGCTTTAGGTTGACCTTAGATTTTTGCAGTTAGCTTCTTTGACTGATCAAGCAGTTCCCATCTTGCGATTGTTGAGAGATGAACTTCATCAGGGCCATCTGCCAGGCGCAAGGTCCGGATATAAGCAAACCTGGGTCGGAAGGAGCTGGGTGAGGGTTTGCCAGCAGGCTGTCTCAGCACTATTTTTGGTTTACCCACCCTTTGAACGGTTGTCTGAAAAGAGCTATCACATAAGAGATACTGCAGAAAAGCCTCCCTGGCAGGACTGAGATGTGTGGGCTGGAAATGCAGAAGGCTGGCTTCTCCCCAAGGCCGGGAGGGATAAGACTGAGCTTTAGAAACAGATCCTCTGTGCTGCTGATAAGAACTACTTCAGATCTAGTGCCAGCTTTTTTTTTCTTTTTTTTTTGTAAGGGTAAAGCAATGCAATTGAACTGGAATTGAATTATAAAAGCAGTTGTTTTAAGTTTTATAGCTTAAAGGCATATGGACCATTATTTCAGGCTACCTGAGGTGAAACAGTATGTACTGGTGTTACAGAATGATCTTAGAATGCTTAGCATCTCCAGATAAGTCTCCCTTTACTCACATAACAGCCAAAGGAAAATCCTGAGAAACTCCAGCTCCACCACACACTTGGATTGCACAATCAATCACTTTAAGCACAGCTCGAGGGACAACCACTTTGGTCATGGCTACCTGGAGTGAGAAGAGAGCTCATCTTATCTAACAGTTTCATAAGCAAGTATTTATCTAACAGTTTTACCCATGACTGGTACCTCACTGTACATTCCTTCCTCTTTGGATTGAACAAGCTCTGCTGTTCCCTGGGTAAAGTAAAACTGTTTCCAGTCACCCCAAACTATCTCAGCATGTTGAGACAAGTGAGCAATACTTGAACTTCTTTAACTTTTCAAAACTTTATCGGATTTCTCATTTAAAAACTTTGAGATGACCCTTTCCAATCTCACGACAATCAAAAGCACATCTTTAGGCCATCTATTTTCAAAATGAAATTATGCTTTCTAATTAGAAGAATAATGTTTAGCAATATGGTTTAGATTGTATTTAAACTGCTTGAATGCACAGGTATTGCATTCCCCAAGTCCCAGCATAAGGCTGCTAAAAAAATTTTTACCTCTTTCCTTGCTTTTCTGTTGCCTAGCATGTCGATCTTGCTGGCTGCTTGTAGCGTAAGCAGTCTAGCCTGTTCTATGCTGAGGCGGCTTTCAGCAATCCAGTGGGCAACAACCTCCTGCAGAAACCAGAGACATGCTTGGCTTTATGTGACTGAACATGCACATGTGTCAGTTAACACATGTGTATGTTCAGTCACTTAGAGACACTTGTGTGCAAATTAGAGCTAGTTTGATGTGTGTACTCTCATAGGAGGAAAAAAGAAAACGATTGACAGAAATATTAAAGATAGAATGGTTCTTTGCCTGACAGGGAAGAGGAAAGGGGGAAAAACTCCAGATTCTAGCATGCTTTCATTTCCTGGTCAGACCTAGTGCCTGCTCCCCCTTTCCAGCCTGTTTTTTAACTCCCTGCTTTCCTGCTACCAGACTGCACAACCCTCTCTCTGTGTAACATGCCCCAGTATACAAAAAGTGGGGGGTGAAAGGGGGGAGGAATTGGTTCTGTCTTGCTTAAACCACTGATGGTGGTGTGTTACACACCCAGACAGACAGCTGCAGGGTGGTACCTGCTGTGTCTGTTCACATTGATGATAAATAGCTCCCTTGCTCCAACTGAAGTTACGGTCCTGGCAGCCCTTCCCTGCACCTCTTAGGTAATGCCCCTCTGCAGCCAACGTACCCCAGTTGAAAAAATGTTCATGTGATGCTTGTCAGTGTAAAGGCTGTTTGGAGCCTGCACCGTGGTGGGCACATGCTCCCACCCGTGGATGCTGTTGCCTTGGCGGCTGCAGGAGCCATCAGCACATGTGCAGTGCTCGCTGCAGCACAAAGCCTGGGGCTCGGCTCAGCCAGCAGAGGTGGTGTGAACCCGGGTGGAATCAGACACACCCTTCTGCCCCCCTCCTGCCTGCGGGGTTGTAACCAACTGCCTGCCCTGAGGGCAGTGGTGAGGGTCAGCCAAGAGCCTCGCCTCTTCCTCAGCTGTCCTAGTGCTGTGAGGAACCTGTGCTGCCTGCGCAGCTGGATGTCAGGTCTTAGTTTAACGAGCTTCTGCGAAACAGAGCGCGCCTCATCCAACTCTTACTAATTCTAGGTTATGATCGTGAATGGAAGTTTGGCAATGACATGACTGGAAAATGGATATGTAAGATTATTCCCTCTGGATCTGTACAAACAACTTTTTATGACCTATGCCAGACACTAATTCAGTTTCCTCTTTCCATTGCCTTTACTTGTTTTTTCCAATAAAGTCATCCTATCTGTTGGATAAGACTGAGGAACAATTGAAATGCGGCCAGCTACTAAATGCTGATGATTCCTATAAAAAGCAGACTGACATCTTTTTATTACCCTATCAAGCAAGCTCTCTCTCACAAAATGGTATTTCAGTTCCAGAGCAAGATAAGGCAAAAAATCCTAAGACCAGTTTGGTCTGTACTGTCATAAGTAAGCACAAATAATTGATCAGAGAAGTAAAATTTTTAGTCAAATTTAGACCCTTGAGTGTTTCTGGTAATCATGATTCGATACACAAAAATGGTGAATTCAGATTGTAACTATGGAAACATAAGCTGTATGCCTGAAAAAAATACCTGTCCAATCTGATCAGCAAAAGCAGAGCAAAAAACATGGGGACAAAATCTGTATTCAAATCCAGCAAAGGATATCCAATTCATTGCAAGGGAAAAAAAAATCCTGTAGATTATATGGAAAAATGGGAGCCTTGCAATATGATTTTTTTCTTTTGAACCCTGATGCATTATGAAGAGAAATTCAAGGTGAGGGCACATCCCTTGTAGTGCATTATGAGAGGCACGAGTCTGTGTGAGCAAAACAAAGGGTGATGTCTGGAGCACATGAATTGAGACAAAGAGGGAACAAGCTTACATGGTGATACAGTTTCTTCCCAAAAGTCTCTCTCTGTGCTGCACGCTGGCACATTATCTGTAAAGCGGTTTCAGCTGCACCAAGGGACCTCATGCAGTGATGAATACGGCCTGGCCCAAGCCGACCTTGAGCTATCTCAAACCCCCTTCCCTCACCTGGATGGAAAGAAAAACAGGCACATGCAGACTCCTTGATTCCTGCTTGAAATGATGCCTGGCTCTGAGCAGAAGTGGCCTCATAGCACCAGAGCTAGAAGCAAGCTTTTTAAAAGTTTATTTTGCAGAACTGTTGCTTGTTTACTCCAACTAGATCTATACTGACACATTGTTAATAATACTTACAGCACAAAGCACACCCTAAGATGGTTTCTGACAGGGTTTGATTTACGTGATTTAATTTCAATCTTGTTATTTTTACACTGAAAAATATATCTGTGATATCTGGTATGAGAATCTGGGGGAAGACTTGGAGGTTTCCAGGTCCTAGGGCTACTCAAGAAAGAAACCTCTTACAGTGAAATAAAAATGGCAGAGAGGAGATAGATAGAAGAAATCAGGATTTATAGTAAGAGAGAGAAGCAGAGCAAACTTCTCCCTCCAGAAGGTCTTTTTTTTTTTTTTTTTTTTTTTTTTTTTCAGTTCTGCTAAATTTGCAGGCACCCAGGTTTGGGTGGCTGTGGACTACAGCAGAATGCTCTTTTGAAAAGTGTGTGAAGTCTATGAGAACTGGTTTTGGGGAAAGAACACCACTGCCAGTTTCTGCTTTGCTCTACTTCAGGAAGGTAGATGACAGCTGCACCTGCCCTGATTCCTTCATTCACCTTTCTGCTCTAAACAAGTTACATCCAAGCAGCAGGTAGACTGCTAAAGGAAGAGAGGGCTCCCTCGTACATGTGTTTGAGACCCTGGCTCCACTGACCACAGCAGTTTACAATAACTTATGGTGATTCATAAAATAAACCACTGTTTCATAAAACTTGGCTCATTGCTGTATGTATTAAAAAGGAATTAATATTGAAACTCACCCAGTATTATATTGGAGACAGGTACTCTCACATCATTAAAGTGTATCTCAAAATGTCCTCCATGGATCTCATCTATAGGCATAGAGAAAACACAACAGCAGAGTAAAATAAAGGAGGATAAAAATACAGGCCTTCAATTCCTAACTCTTTTTCTATGTATGCATTTTACTGATTTATTTGATATACAATATTTATTGTATATGTGTATATATATACAATGCAGCTTCTGAGACTGCTAACAAATTAATATGTGTAATAGCTGATAAATATCACCTACCCAGGTAGCCAAACACTGAGAGGGGTCTTATCAGCTTTAGCCCTGGAGTGTCCATGGGAACAATGATCATACTGTGCTGCTCGTACCTGATCAAGACAGAATGCACAAGTTACCATTAACTTTGAGCCTCCCCTTCTGTACCCTCCTTCCACTTCTTTTATTTTCAATCCTCAGTTCAGTGCTCACATAAAGCAATCTTGAGATTTACCTATACTGATTGCAGCTGTCCTGCATGCAGTGACATGCGTGCTTCAATACTCCTTGAATCAGCAGTGAACAAGTAGAAATGTACTACTGGCATCTAATGCACCAGTATCAAAGAACTACTACTTTTGTCACTTCTGTGCAAGTATTTCTGTATCACCCAGTCAATTTCCTCCCCCTCCACCCCCCACCTTTCTTTTTTATTCTCACAACATGTTTATCATCATCACAGTCTTGGCTTGCCTATAGTTTAGGAAAAAAAAATCCCCATGTTTAAATTCCTTCAGAATATTTAAGGTCAGTTATTAGTCACACAGAACTGGAGGAGACACCAGACGTTCCTGAACTCAACCTCCAGCTCTAGCAAGCGCAGTATCACATAGTCTCCTCCATGAACTTCTGTTCAGCTTCCAAGAGTTCAACAGGTGCCACTGTCTGTACAGCCACTGGACAAACCATCCTGTATGCTGTGAGCAAGTTATGGTTTACTTCTCAATGGAACCTAGCCAAATCTGAAAACTTAATCAGTGGGATTTGGGGTAAAATCCAACTTAGAGATACAAATATTCCAATTTTTTTTTTGCATTACAAGCTGTGGAACCAGTCATGAAGCATTTTATTCATCACTTGTGTAAGTTTTGTAAAAAGCAATTTTAGTTTGGTAATAAAGAGTTGAACCACATCTTTATTTTAAACAAGAACAGGGAAGTATTATATTGCCACATATAGAAATGGAATGAGCAGGTCCCATTGAAGATGTGCAATGCTCTCTGCTTACACAACTTCATGTAACAAGCATTCCACGTTTCAAACTTAACTTTCTATACCTACAGGTAACTGTGTGAAAAACTTAGTAGATAACTGCAGGTCTCTGATGTGCCACTTGTACTCATTCTGTTCAGGAAAGCTCTGAAAAGTTTTATTATCAATTAAGAAAACAATTCTTACTCTTGCTAAATGTTTTATATACTATCCTTATGAAATAAAGCATAAGCCAGTGGTAGTTGTTGGTTGACCAACTGATGCAGACTAAAACTATTCTGACCAAGATAAAGTTAGGAAATTCCCAAAACTTTCCTGATCCAATTCATCACAGAGCTCTGCTAACACCAGAGCTAGTGCAGTGGAGGGGAGGAAGCACACTGATGAAAGCTGGTAACAGCAAAATGGTTGGGAGGCTTCAGTCAACAGCAGTTGACACCAAAACAGGAGCTTGGTCAGCAACATTTTTCTCTTAAACAGACACATGCACAAATCCTCTGTAATGCACAAGCACATCCAACTGATCAAGGCAATTAGTGGCATTTCACGTAACAAAATTTTTGTAAGCAGTGACTCCATCAGGAAACAAGTTTTATGTAACTCATTGAATCTCCTAGGAATCCTTACCTGGATGCTGAGGAGTTTTTGGTTTTGCCCATTACGATTGCAACTTTGCAATTTGGGTTCCCAGCACCTTGAAAAGTCACAAACACAAAAATAGCTTTCAATATAAAAATCTCAAAGTAGAATCAAATTAAGTTTCATACAAATAAATCTTCCTCCCTTCCTTTCGTGATACAGGAGCAAAAGCATGCAATCTACTCTGTGTTTATACTCTGAGTAATCAGACTGAAACTAAATAAATCTTATTGCTTAACATGTAAAAGGGAGTTGACTTGTTGTGAGGGGAACAGTGACAAGCCAAACATCCAAACCCTCCAGGATCCGGCTCCATCATCTATTCCTATGAAAAGAGAACAAGAAGGTACTTGAAATGGAATCTAATTACTTCTGTCTCCATTACAGCTAAGCAAATAAGTCTGATACAGAAGCACACCTCAGGGCGAGGTGCTGCCATTTCAAAAGTAAAACTTCTTAAAACTGTAAAGACTGGAGGATCTCTGTGGGAATGAAATACCGACCACATTATAACCAAATTCTGCAGATAAGGCTATCAAAGAGTTACCATGATGACTTTGCTACTACTTCAGCATAACTTCTCTGGAATAAAGGTTCATTCCTCCTTTACACAAACGATTTTAGTTTGCACTTCAAAGAAAGATCTGAGTGGAAATCGTTACCTGAAAATAATCTGCCAGCATTTCAAGCCATTGTTAACATTATTTGAGACATGTCTTTGTAGCATAAAGCTAGCATTTTAATGTACAAGTCCTAAAGAAGATTCTACCATTATTTAACATGACATCTTATTTCTAAGAGCCTTAATCCTCACTCCCTTTTTCTTTAAAGGTTTCTTAGTCCTAAAGCATGCTCTCAGTCCTTTCAAAGTCTCACACAGACACTAAAGCTATAGAGAAGGGGCATGATTATACCTGATGTACGTAACAATCAGGAAATTTTTGATTGCTTTCTCAATGCAGATGACAAGCTTTTCAGAGATTTAATTCAAGATTTTTTTTCTGCACCAACTCGGTTAGTTTTAAGGTCAGAAACAAAGATAACTTTTAAACTTCTCTGGCAGCTGTTATCACGAGGTTTGGAAGCCTCTGGTCTAGACAATGCAACCACCTGGCTTTGAGCTGAGTTACTTCCTCTTAAGAACAGCCACTGTGATGGCCAGGAAGCAGGAGAGAGATTTATTTTGTTCTGATGAACACTGCCTATTTTGAGGGCCAGGCTGCTGGCTGTTTATACTCCTCTTTTGCCATATGCATTTCATCCATTGTTTTCAAAGTGGGGTTATATTTGTGGCGCATGAGCTGTACAATGCTAACGAGCTAAAATATAAAAGTGAAAAGCTCGGGGTGGGGGTGGAATAAATCAGCTTGGTAAAAAAAAGGTAATCTCAAACAGTTGGCTCATTTGGGCAACTGCAACAAGCGGGCAACCAACCCCAAAATAACACAACATGCTTTGCAATGTACTACCCTGCAAAGAGAAATGCTACATTCTTAAGGGGTATTTGACTCTTCTCCTTTTCCACAGAAAGCAAAGAATTGCACAAGTGGTGTTTTCTAAACCACATTTATCTTGAAGTGAGGTTTACAACAAAAGATATTTTGACTTTCTGGAAACTTTTCAATAACTGGTTTGTAAACAATCCTCAAGTTACATCCCTGCTTCAAAAAAAGGCAAATTTCACCATATTGTATGAAAAAAAATCAGAAGAAGCTTTCACATTGAACTTGGTTAGGATCTCACTGAGAGCTAGACATCTGGTTAGATGCTCTAAATCATTAGTACAAGTTTCTGGAAGGCAAATGAATACCTCCATTTCATATCTGCTTTTTCCCATTTGAACACAGCAAAGCAAGGCAGATTCCTGGCCTTTCCACTCCTTAGGGTTTGAAGTTCTGAAAACCCAAAATAAATTTTATGCAACTTTGACCCATAAACGCCAGAAAGAAGTTCTGGTCTAATGCAAGACTCTGAAATACTCCAGTTCTTTGGAAGAAATGCAGACTGCCTGGATGGAAAAAAATCTCTCATTTGTAAATGGCATTTTTACATTACTTACAGAATTCAAAGAAGCTGCTGGAGGATGGGGGGGGAAGAGTCAGAGAAGCCCATCATTTTGGCAGGAGTTAGAAGTAGTTTTGCAAGCAACTCACAATTGAACAAATAGAAATAGCAGAGATTTTGGAAGGTCAGTTGTAAGCAGATTCCCATATTGATAAACTTTTAAATAAGCATTTTAAGATATATGTCTGCATAACCCATCCAAAACCTCTAAACCACAATGCTGCTACATTGGGAAACATCCTAAGTTTAACTAATGTCATATATTTTTTAAATCTTCATGGCACTCACACAGGCAAAGACAACGATATTTTAAAATGTGCTTAGAGGGTTGATCACGATCCTGTTAGAAGCCTAATCTTTGCTATCAGGGGGTGTAACATGCTTAAGATTACTGAACTTCACACAACCAACTTATACAGGTTCCTTCTGGTAGAGGAATGTGGCGCAGACACAGACAGTACTTAAAGAAGCTGGATAGCACATAATTCTTGCAATCTATTTACCTAATTTTCAGCATCCAGTCTTCAAATTTTTGGCTAAGATGGCTAAGGCAGGATAATCTACTACTTGAATGCCCAGAATACCTATGACTCTCGCCGTGTTGGCTGCCACAGGGCTGAACCTGGTGGGTTACCTTTCTCTGCTAGAGATCAGGGGTCTGTGGCAACATTAACAAACTTGGCACCTTCCTACAGAGGCACTGATAAACACACGTTCTGGACTCTCCTACAAGAAGAAACTGGACTGAACAGGGTGGATGGCAGTGTAGTATTTATTGTAGTATCTTCTGACAAAGAAAAGGGGACCCCTCAATAGCCTGCTGTAATTTCTATCCACTAGCACAATGCATTCCATAATTTTATCTCATCTTCTCCAGATAACACTTCTGGGTATCTGGTAAAGATTATAATGGGGCTGCGAGCAAATTGGCTACAACTAGTGAAGACAGAGGCAATGCTGGGGTTCTGCTGCCAACCAGCAAGGGCTATACAGTCCTGTCACTGAATGCGGCTGCTAGTTGTTCCCAGCTAGAGCTCACAGTCTCAGATGGTGCCAGCTTAGGCATGTTTTTTTATGAATGTTTTTTTCCTCACCTTCATCCCATGTTTATACAGCCACAAGCATTTCTTAGTTAAAGAAGATACATTGTCATTTTGCATTCACTCATTAAACAATTTTTGTTATTTTTGAGCCTATAGGGTCATACTGAAATGTATTACATGCCAGTATTATTTCTGTACCCTGTCTGAAAGGTTCTGTCCTCTCTGCACCCTGCAGCTATGAGGAGCTGAGGCAGTGTAATAAACAGCACAGGATTTCCATGAACTGCCTTCCTACAGCCTGCCCACAGGACCTCTCAGGCACTGGTAACACAACCATCTGTTCTGTAGGCAACACACAGAGATATTTCCCTGGGAACTTTCTCAGTTCTAGCCTGATTGTTTCATCTTGTTGGAGACCATATTGAGACAAACCCCATTCAGAACTGAGAGATTCACTTATTTTAAAAAGATATAGCTCAGGCCTCTAAGCAACGACACAACTTGTGAGAAGCAGACGTGCTGGAAGCAACCCAAATGTCTTATCTGCCACTGTGAAGAACACCAGTGAAGTACTCAAGATGAAAACACTGCAGAAATATATGCAAATATTGCATCACTCTTTCTCTAGATTCCAATTACTCCTCTAACCCATTTTTCTTTCTCGTTCTCAATGCAAATGAAGCTAGAAGCATTTGGAAAATATTTGCCCGTTACATTCTTAGCTGCCCATCTTGAAGAACACAAGTGAAGCACTCAAGATGAAAACATTGCAGAAATATGTACAAATATTGCAGCACTCTTTCTCTAGACTCCAATTCCTCCTCCGACCCATTTTTCTTTCTTGTTCTGAATGCAAATGAAGCTAGAAGCATGTGGAAAACATCTGTCCATTACATTCTTAGCTGCCCATCTTTCACATACTCCAAAATAGTTGAAGTACAGACAGAAGGCTAAATCTGGCTGTGGCAGGTACCTCAATTTAGTCAGTGTGCCAAAATCAAAACCTCACCTCTGGTTTGCTCAAAATATCTCTCTGTTGTTTGGCATCAATATTGCATTTACTGAAACTCATTAGACTGCTACAGGATACGGGATAATGATGGAAGGTCCTGAGACTCTGTGCGAGGTATTCTTACACAAAAGACTAATTTGAAGCTGTAGAGATTGTGGAAATTTAAGCAAGATCCAGTCATTTTAGAAATTATTAGCACAGGTAAGTCCATGCCTCAGTGCAGAAATACTAATGTCTGCATGTGAACTGCAGAACTTCTCCATCTTCCCTTTCCTGTGAGAGTTTTGACTCTATAATGCAGACTGCACACTACAAGTGGAAGAAACCTCATGGATAGAATAGCATCTATTTTTATTCTACAGTATCTGACTAGCTTGCAGTTTCTGTAGAAATATTATCAAACACTAACTCGATTATGAATCTGACTGGTAACATTCAGGTCCCTGGGAACTCTCCCACAGGGTGCAGGACTACGTGCTTATACTCTGGTTGACAATTTACCACTTGCTTTCACATCTTGTTCCCTATCATCTTGCTGGTTTTGTTCAGGATGACATAGTGAAAGAGCAACCTCCCCAACCTCACAAAAAGCAATAGTCATCTTTCTACTGCATCCCCTTAAAAAGTTACTTTAAAAGGGGATATAAAGATACCTTAAAATCTTATATAGGCAGCCACCAACAGCACAGTAGTGCCCTGAGGAAAGAAGTGACTCACTACAGGTAACTCTGCCCTAGACTGACCTCCCCCTCTTTCTCTCTTTTTCACCTTTTAAATGTATGATTTGATAAAAGCCTTCTGATGATGTAAAAAAAACATTTCAACTTTAAGAAATAAAACAACCAATACCACAGTGAAATAGCAAGAGAATCTTTACCTTCCAAAGAAAAGTCACATTCTGGCTGTAACAAAGAGGAATGTAGGAAATGTACGTGTTTGACACAAGCAAAGTTTCCAGGAAAGCAGGATTTATTTATTTATTTATTTATTTAAAGCTGGCAAGTCAAAATGAAAGCGCAACTGACTTCCAGAGGAGGGTGTGGTGTTTGAAGACAAAATACAATGTGTCAGACCAACTCAGATCATTTCACTGAAGCACATCTCAATTGCAGTACCAACTACTACTCTGCTGACAAAATAAGGTTAGTTTTGTTTTAATATTTACTGCTCTGTATGTTAAGTGATATCTTATTTACATAGAGAAGAGCTAGGATTTACTCTCAGATAAGTTGGCTTTACAGAAAGACATCATTTCGCGAAGGGATGTGCTCATCTCCAGTCTTAAAATCAGACTCGTTCAGCAGAAGAACAGTACTGCTTAATTCAGTAAAGAAACAAATCTGTCTGTTTAAACTGGGGATATTAACTTCATTCAACATGTATCCATACAATCCCATGTCAAGTTTAAACACACAGAAACAATGAATTTGTATCTAAATGGAAGGCTGGAATAATTCTGCAAGAAAATATGTAAAGCTGTCTGTTATATCTATTAATATACCTCCTAGAAAACAGTACTGGAAAAAACAGCTGAGGTTCTGAGCTGTTTGGGTACTTGTGGTCAGTTTTGTATGCGGTAAGATTCATTTTTGTCATAATGTCCTGAGAAGTCTCCAGCTGTAAGATCCAGGATACCCACAGCAGTTTGTAAGAAATTCCACATGGGCATAAGGCAGCTCGCTGTGTGGGATGGAGACTAAACTAAGTCTGTTTCATCACTGTTCAGCACCTGAGTCCCAGGGGACTGCTCTGCTTTATGTAATAGGCACCTATACGTGCACCTGGGAAACAACAGTAACAGGAATGGCAAATACAAATAGGTGTGTTAGCCAAAACATAACTGTGTTTTTAAGGGAGAAATACCAACTGTTGCATTTTAGATAATTTTGTTTCTGTCAAGAACTCGGGGTCAGCCAAAAGCATATCAGGCAGCAGAGCATGTTCCTTGTCACAGCCAAACCACTTTGTGATACACAGACTTCTTGAAGTTTGCACTGAAATGTTTACTGTTTTGCTTTCAAGCAAATTTGCCAGTGATCCAACTTGAGTAAGTATTCCCAGATGGGTTCTGCAAGAAGTGTTTTAGACCACAACCAAATCTTTTCAGTTTAATTTTTAATTCTCTTCTAATCTTGGCTAAGTGGATTAAACTCTTTCACTAATAAAAAAAAAATACATTTGCTGCTGATGTCTGAATCTCTCTTCAAAGTATCCAAAACTGCGAAAGATTACCCCTGCTGAAAAATCCTGCTAATGCAGCTTGTTAGGCATAGAGTAGACACCCTTTGCTGGAGTAGCTAATAGAATTACTGTATATTTCCATTCTGCACACCTCATTTAGGCAAAAGTAAATGACATTACAAGACCTAAAGTAAGAGTAATCATTGTTTAAAGTTTAATGGGAAGTGTTTTGAAGTGTTAACAAAATAAGCCAGAGTCATTGAGAATGAAGCCAAACCAAACAGATAATTTCTAACTAATAGACTTTTTAAAAAAATAAGGTAGCAGATTCACTGAAAAAAAACCCAAACCCAAGCAGAAATAGAAATTATTAATTTCTCTCTATTTAATTGTTTTGCATCCCTGGATACAAGATCAGTCAGTAACTTATTTTTCCTGGTAGACAGAATTAAAAAAATTTAAAAGATTTAAGACAATCCTTCATTTAAACCCTTGTCTAAAACCCAGAAATGATATCTGGAATATTTCCAAGCTTGAAAAAGCCAAATTGTAGCTCCCAGAGTATCAGATAAGAATCTGATTTCAGTAACACTGGCCTCAAATTCTGAAACACTGCAGGTGATGAGAAAGGGGGAGGTGTTTTTCATTCTCAGCTACCTTTTGCTACTGCTGTTAAGAAATATTAATCCCACTTATTTCAAGAAAATGGGACACTTCAGGACTGTAGTTTACAATAGAAAGAATTTCAGGAAATTAGTCTATGAACAGAGTTAAGAAAAAGAAAAAAATACTGTAGGACATGACTCGCTTAAGACACGAACACTCAAACTTCCACCCTAAGCTGGCAGTGAGAATACAGCTGTAGTGTTTATAGAGTAAATCTGTCATCTCATCAGTATTTCAGAAAACATTAGAGCTTCTAAGCTGTTTGGGTACTTGTGGTCAGTTTTGTATGTGATAAGATTCCTTTCTGTCATAACATCCTGAGAAGTCTCCAGCTGTAAGATCCAGCATACCCACAGCAATTCGAATCTGTAAAATTCCAGTGGGCATGGCTTGCTGTGTGGGTTGGAGACTATGCCTGTTCCACAGCTGTTCAGCAACTGACTCCACTGTTGTGCTCTGTGTAATGGGCACGTATGTGTGTGCCTGAGAAACAAACAAGCCCATTCTCCCTGTATTATATCCCAAATATAGCAAACTTTATGTCATTAGGCACAGCATACTACTGCTTGCCTCTCAGCTTCAACCTGTTAGTATTCCTTATTCACTCTATGGTAATAGCATTTACAGCCTTCAACTGTACTCCTTTGCATTTCAGAGGCTGTAGAGAGGGAGGTTTAATTTCAACCCTATAAAGGGACAGACCAGGGGATTTTTTTAATGGGATATTATCAAACATAACTGAGTCAGAGCAGTTTAAGCAATGATGGCTCCACTCCTAAAACGTGGAAACCTGTGAAGTGCACTCCAAGCATCTTGCAATCTCAAACACTAAGGTTAACAAAAGCATTTCAGCTGAACGCATTTTACTTTGCATTGCACACATGGATGTAGTCAGTTACCCCATTTCATGTGAGAATTTGAGATGGTCTGTTCTGCTTCCACCACTGTTTAGCTCTACTTTGATTAATTACAAATGTATTCTCAATATCCAACTTCTCTAAACATGAGATGTAGAAGCAACCCTGAGCAAGGGTTTTAGGTTTCAACAGAAATTTTTAAATTTAAAACCAGTATTATTTCTTTGGAGTTCCCCTCTCACCCTTTTTTTTTGTGCCTTGTAGCTTTGCCATGGGCTGGGATATGAATAACTCAACCGAATACTGGATTGAGGATGAGGAGGATGATCACAACTCTGTTATAGATTACAATACATATGAGCTTCTCTGTGAAAAAAGTGATGTGAGAAATTTCACTAAATTATTCCTCCCTGTGTTCTACGCATTGGCTTTCACTGCTGGAGTTGCTGGCAATTCATTAGTGGTCGCAATTTATGCCTACTGCAAGAAACCCAAGACTAAGACGGATGTGTACATCATGCATCTAGCCATTGCTGATTTGCTCTTGCTCTTTACACTCCCTTTCTGGGCTGCAAATGCAGTGCAGGGATGGGAACTTGGAAACTCAATGTGCAAGCTCACTTCTTCTCTGTACACCATGAATTTCAGCTCTAGCATGCTGTTCCTGGCCTGTATCAGTGTGGATAGGTACAGGGCCACTTCTGAATCCCAGGGTCGTACAAGAATAGGTAAACACTGCAGTGTTACCTGCATCTGTGTCTGGCTGTCTGCCATTTTCCTCAGTATCCCTGAACTGGTATTTAATCAAGTCAAGAAACACAATGACAGGAATGAATGCCTTCCTGTATTTCCAATTAACATGGAAACACTCTTAAAAGCAACCATTCAAATCCTGGAAATTATCCTGGAATTTTTGCTTCCTTTCCTAGTAATGCTTATCTGCTATTCAGCTACTGCTAAAACAATCTTCAGATCTGCAAATGTTAAAAAGTCTAGACCCTTCCTGGTTCTTCTGGCAGTAGTAGCTACTTTCATTACTACCCAGCTACCTTATAACATTGTTAAGCTCTGGCGAGCCATAGATATCATCTACATGTTGATTACTGACTGTGACACAAGCAAAACAATCGATGTTGCACTCCAGATCACCAAGAGCATAGCTTTGTTTCACACCTGCCTGAACCCGCTTCTCTATGCCTTTCTGGGTGCCTCTTTTAAAATGCATATTATGAAAATCGCAAAAAATTATGGATACTGGAAAAGACAACAACAGAATGGAAGACCTGAAGAAATTTCTCTGAATTATGAAGACAACACTGAAGAAACAATTAGTTTCACTATATAGACTCTCCATTACTTCATTATCTTATATAATCAAAGGAATTACTAATTCATTCTAGGGGTATCATTTCAGCAGCTGTTTCTCTGCAAGGCAACTTTCAGATGAATTTCTGAATCTGCAGACTAGCCAAGACACTACAAAGCAGTTCAAAGTGGAACATGCTGATCAAAATTAAGCATCGGGCAAGAACTAAACACTGAAATTCCTAGAAACAACTAAAGATACTTACTTAGAAAAAACACCAAAGAAAAATAACAAAACCCAAACACCTAGATAACCCACAAGATTTAAATTTAAAAGTGTCACAGTACTAGGTATCTAAGTATCTGTGTAATGAACAATCTGTACATGTCAAACAATTAATTCAAACAGAAAAATAAACTATCAGGAATAAAGCACCATACAGGAACTTCTTTACCAGCAGTTACTATTTTTGTGTTTCTTCAACTATTTTGTAAAACTTAGAACATTTGTCTAGTAAGTCAGTTCAATATTTTTCCTCAGCTATCATTCCACATATACCCCTGCAGTTTCAAATGAGGTTTAAGTTCATGGCTGAGAACTGAGAGAGTCGGGAAAAAAGCCATTCTCTGTGTGGTTCCACATAAAACACAAAACCCAGTCATTCCTGCTCTGTAACTACCAAAAATGACCTTTCACCTCTCCTTTTCTGCTCATTCTGAACTTAACAAGCCCAGTACCCTATGGGAGGCACATTCTGTATCTCTGTAAACACCAAAGCCTTAGCAGACATGTAAGAAAAAGTTAAGTTAATCTTCAGATACAGGGCCTGGAATTTCCAGTCACAATTTGTACAATAAATCAAACACTGCAATAACTGTATCTGCTAAAATATATGGAGATACAATAAAATCAAATAATATAAAGAGTCCACTGGCTTTCATTTATTCATATCTTTATGTTGGTTTAGTAGGTACTGACATCCCTCATGATAAGCATTTATCAGCCAGCAAAGGCTAGAGGCCTTGCTCGATGAATGAGAGAGGTTCTGACTCCACATGGAGCTCATGGTCAGTGGGATTTACAGTTTTTCCATGGAGAAATACCAAAACTATTCCCTACTACAGTGCTGGTGAGGATTCCAGGAAAACAGCAGTTTTCCATGACTCTCTGGAAGCATTTCAAATATATTGACATACTAGCTTTCTAAATGGAAAAAAAGGAGTATTACAGCATACTGTCCCTGACTTCAGGCATCCCGTGGGCTCTGACAAAAAGCCTGATCTATGGCTTACAAAAGCCAGGAATCTCTGATTTTTAGACACTGTTCCTAGTTAGATAATTATGGACTGGAAGAAAAAGCTCTAAAAGGACAGACAAGAAACAACAGTAGCATAAACAAGACACAAGCCTCTTCTCTCTGTTTGGATGACAAAAGCTTACAGAATTTCTGCCCACTATTTTGCGAAATATTAGGGTGTGAATATGTAAGTCAGAAGTGCTTGACAGATAGTCTACACATACACTATAAATCTGACAAGTTTAAGCTGCACTGGATTTACTGTAGATGTGTAAAGCTCCCATGCAGAGAACAGTAACAAACTCCAGTTCTTCCATGAAACCACTAGCTCCTTACATGTGAGATTTATGACTTGACTTCACAAATAGAGTCACTGCACCCAGACTGACATTCTGAACAGGCTGTCAGGCTTCTGGAACTCCCAAACGTCCAAGGTCCTAATTTCCCACTCCGAGTAAAAAGGAAAAAAAAACGCCAAAACCAACAAAAACCCACAAAACCCTCAAAATCCAAAAACAAACGACCAGGCGGTAAAGGAGACTCTGACTAAGAGAAAGCTGCATGTATGTGTTTCTCAAACTTCTTGAAATTGCAGTGCCTTTTATGTGTCTGTCTTTATGCAAATCTGACTGTCCTGATTATTTTTATTAGAAATAAAATAAACCAAATTATGCTTACTCTCTTATGCTTATGTTTACTCTCCTTTTTATAATTCACATAACTAATTTTACAAATAATATTTTGTGTGTGTGACCTTCTACAAACTTGCCGATGACTTCATTAAGAACTGCAACGCACAGCTGGGAGACACTGACCCAGAGCAAAGGTGTCAGCCAGCAGTTGAGTGACACACTCAGTTCCAGAGACATGACCCCATGTTTCCTTTTGCCACTGGTTTTGCAGTACTAGAAAAGAGAGAGAGTCCTATCTTCTGGTGACTCTAGGTATTGCACAGGCATGTATTAGTAGGTAGCTGCCACGATCAAAGCTACATAAATGAAACATTCAGGTTTCACTCCAGTTAGCAACTCAGTTTATTTAGCTGGCTTCCAAACTCCCCCAGAATGAGGATTTTCAAGTTGCTGTCGCATATGTTTAGGTAAAAAAGGAACTATTACAATATCAGGGGCATTTACCACTTATAGTACAATCCATTGATTTTTCTGGGGTATATAAGAAAATCACCTGTAACAGTCAGTCCAGCAGCATCAGACTAGTTTAAAAAGCAGCCAAATTTTACTGTAACTACACAGTAGAGTCAAACCTCACACATAAGCTGCCAAAGACAGTTTAATAAAAACGAAGTTTAAAGGCTACAGCCATAAATGTCTAAGTTACCTGATGGAAAGAGGTAACACTTAAGGAACCACAGTAGCATTCATTCTTTGAACAAAAATCAGAGTTTCCAAAAAGGGCCCCAAACCCCAAATTGAATTTGAGACTTGGACTTTGTTTCATAGATCAGAAACTCGATTTAGCTCTTTCCATTGTTTACATTCTATCACCTTTACTCAGGAAGAAACAATTTCCCACCTAAGAAATGGAGTATAAATCTTTTTATTTCATCAGTTCTTGGAAAGAATTTTAGACTTAGCCATTCTTACTTAGGGTTTCCATACTTACCACTGCTCCACCACTTCTTGCCATTGATCACATAACTGTTTCCATCTCGCTCAATGCTGCATTGCATATTGGTGGCATCACTTGAAGCCACATCAGGTTCTGATTTAAAGAAAAAAAAACAAACCAAACCACTGGATTAAACATACTGGTAGTACCACATACATCACAAACATAGGGACCTAGATAAATTCTATTGACAATGACACCGTTTTGCTTCTTGTGGAAAAGTTGTTTTCAGAACCTCACTCTGCTGGTGGTCAAAGGCTTTGTATTATTTCCCAACAACCTGTTATTCCTAGCCAGTTTAAACTTGGGTTTGAGCTCAGACTACCCTTTATAGTTAACAGCCTTTTTCCTTCCCTGAAGTTTTTAAATCCTTCCCCTTCTAATGTACTTATAGATAACAGTCATATTTCTCCTCAGTCTTTTTTTCCCCATAGCTCTTCAAGAGAAAAATAAAGAGATTTAAATACTGAAAATGGTTGCCAGCAAAATGTCATCAATCATTGTTTGGAACAGGAAAGATTCTTCCTCTCTCCTTTCACCCTTAACTTCTTTTATAGGTCATCTTCTTTAAAGCAAAAGCATCTCTTTCCTCTTGGGGAACACAGTGAAACAGAATTTGCAAAATAAGGGTCCAGCTCTGCAAGGCTGAGTTCTCTCAACTCCTGCTGACACAGGAAGACCAAGAATTTGACATCCCATGTTCAAAAGCTACCTTCCTCTACCAAGAGCCAGGCCTTCTAAAGATGCTGAATGCCACAAGTTTTCAAGAGCAAAAATGAATATAATGCTGAACTACAGACATAATGCAAGCACATTGTACCTGTCATGCAGAAGCAAGAACTAATCTTCCCTTCTAGGAGAGGCTCCAGCCACTCTTTCTTTTGCTCTTCAGTCCCATACATGTGTAGGACCTCCATGTTTCCAGTGTCTGCAAGATATCAGTGTCCGTGTTTACTTCTTGAGACACACAACTCGTGAGGCATAAAGATGTCCAAGTTTTTAATGCTCTCAGTATTGTAGTTAAGGGACAGGGCTGCTAACCTGGTGCATGACAGTTGAAAACCTCAGGAGCAAAGAAGCATTTCCCTGTCTCCTCAGCTATTAGTGCATAGTCAAGCTGGCTGAGACCACTGACATCTGGGAGAAAAAAATTCCACAGACCTTCTGCCTTGGCCATTTCCTGTTGAAAGAATCATCAGAGGAAAACATTAGTAATAAATCTTTAAAAAAAAATTAAATTCTGGTTTGCTGCCCATTTCCTTCCTTCCTTTCTGCCTGCCTAACATACTGTCCAATGTATCTGATGCCTTTTTCAATAGCTATTTTCAAGCAGTATAGTCTTTGACTTAAAGTTCAGACATGACCCTCACAGAACTCACTTTCACTTTTCTTCTCTCCCACTCATATTTCTCCCCTCCTTTTGCACACTTTCTTCTTCCTTTCCTTTCACTGTTCCTCACAGTTTCTTTCCATGCAGTAACTTCTCCAGCAGAATATGGGAAACATTCTTACACTCTATGTCACTGCCTGTTTCTTTTACTGCTAGACTGCTCAAGAATATTTATTATCCCATACCTTCAGTCTCTCAAGCAGTGGTGGTTTCTTCCATTTATCCTCAGTATTTCCATGTCCAGCATAGTATTTTATTATTTCCTTAGAGTAACAATTTAAAAGATACTGTTCAAATTACGAACATGCCACATACACAAGTAATAATATGGTGTCTTTTCCAGCCCTACATCCCAAGAAACCAGTAAAAAAAATATTCAGAACAGGTTTTTATTATATAGTCAGTTGCATTATAAAATTAAATATTTAATTAAGAATCAATCTGCAATCTATGCAAGACTTTGAATGCGTCATGGAGATGACCCCAGTCAGTACCTTATTTCATACAGAGAAATGATTTGGGGTGGCTGAGGTGAGTGAGGCATGGCGCTTCAAAGCTGGCCCAGAAACTAGTTTTAGAACAAATAAAGTACTGCCCTCTTCTGAAAAATCACACAGTAAGACAAATTCCAAAGTAGAATTTACAAGTCCTGATTCACAATCCCTGTTATCAGAAATTACGTACAAGTACAAAACTAATAATCTGCAAAACTTGCATGGCTCTTTGAGGTTCATTTGTTTTTAAAGCAAGTACTTTAATTATTGCCAGGTTTCCTTGGACATCCCAAAACTAGTTACAGACTTTTAAGCAACTTTGCATATCAAGGGTTTCTGCTCTCAATCCCTCCTTGTGAAAAGCAGATGCATTCATAAATATTTTAAATTAGTATCTTCTCTGCATTTCTGCCTGACTGCAAAAAAAGAAAAAAAATAAATCAAAAAGCAAAAAAAGCCAGTTCCTCAACAAACATCATCTGCATTTCCATGAGACTAAAAGTTGAACCAACTTCCTAAGTGAAAAATTTCTAACCTCCTTAGGCTACAAATCAGAATGTTTCATCTAATTTTTCCTTCTACTATTTAGGGATTTTGGCAGATATTTCATTATCTGATTTCAAACCTTCAGTGGTATTAGATATATTCAGGAATAAGGCAAAAAAAAAAAAAAAAAAAAAAAGAGCAAGGAACAGAAACATTCAACTTTATATGGTTAAAACCAGCAGTTTCCATTTTTTTAACTGTCCTTCCGTTTAGTATGTAAGAGTTCTAGATTTTTGTTAGTGTTAAAAGTATTTTGGCAAATATATTTAAAAAGTAACTCTTTTTAAAAAGAGCAGTTTTAAAAGTAACTCTTAGTGTTCATTAACAATGCATACACATTTTAATTCTGAAAAAAAATTAAAGCAGACTATAATGATTCTGATAATATTTTGCCATGCCACAAACATCACTGCATGAAAATAAGGCCGTTTTGAAAAAAGAATTTGAGATTGAAGGACATGACGTCTATACATAGCTTTACATTTTCATAAACTCTAGATTATTTATAGTAAACCTAATGGGTTTATTATAAATAATCATTTATAAATAGGTTTACTAAACTAAAAAACCTAAAACCTCTTACCTTCTCAGCTGGATATATGTGCTGCTTCATGAACTGCTTGACCTTCAGCAACATTTCTTGGCCTTTCCTACTTTGATGGAACAACTCTCCAGAAATGCTGTGATGTGTGCTGCTGAAAGACGACCTAGAGAACATTCAATGCAATAACAAATAAGACCAGATGTTCCCTCATAAGAACATAAGCTGCCTTATACAGGCATTCAAATAAGAAAAGACGTTGTAAAAACTTTGCCTGGCCTTTGACCAGTAGTATAGACCACTCTTACCTTTTGGACAGCTCTAACCCTCTCTCTGCCAAAGGCTTCACAATCTTAGCAAATTCATGACTATTCTCTGCAGAAGCATTTCCAATGAGAGATCTAGCATATATACCCTAAAAGCAAAAGAAAGGCATATATAGTATAATTATACACTAAAAAATTGTCTCTTTAATAGCTTGATAATTTCTTCAACTATGAAAACGATGCTTAAATGCACGTGTTCTTAAAAGGAAAGAATTATCACCCAGACAGATTTTACTAGGACACGTTAATATTGTGTCTTGTCCATTTCTGATATAATGGAGATGCTTGATGCACAAGAGAAAAAAACATACCCCAGGTAAAACAAACTGAAGGCACATCACAAAAAGTAGCACAGAAAAAGAAAAAAATAAATGTCTGCACACGATACTGCAAGCAAGCCCAGGCCTGTCCCTTAAACCAAATGACAACAGTATACACACATGATTATTATCCATGACTAAATTGACTACCCAGAATCTTACTTCAAATTAATATCAGGTGTCTTAGCCCACATTTGGTATGCTGATCTCAGTTAAAAATCTACTTATGCTCTATAATGGCTGAATATCTAATAAACAGTTACTTCTGTCAACAATGAATTAAGGAAACTCATTTTCTCCTATAATTACATATCAAAATTGGCCTCCTATGCTCATAATAAACTGAGTTTACAAGACACCCTTTTTCATCCGTGGGTGGCACCAACAGGATCTTATTTATCTATCCTGCTATCTACTTTCATGAGAGCTCACGAAACTTAGAAAGATCTCTGTTTCTCTGTAATACAGGATTTAAATTAGCCAGAGAATGCAAAAAGGTAATGACAAAATTGCCTGCATTCTGGAACATCAATAAGACAAACCCATATACCCAAGTTTACTTCACTTTTAGCCTACTTTCCTAAGAAGTTAGGTATATCTAACACAATGTACTTTATGTAGCAAGAATTCCATCTTAGAGGGTCATAAGCATCTAAGATACTGCCTCTAAAGGAATAAAGCAAAATATAATGGTTCCAGTTATTTTTAATTTATTCATATTTTGAACACATATTACCAACTATAAATATGCATAATAAAAATATGTGACATTCTGCAAGTGTATTACCTGGGATATTGCTGCCATTTTAAAATATGACAAAGCAAGAAAAAAATTAAAGTTGGATAAAGCAGTGCTAATACCCCGGCAGCGGCAGTAAATGGAAACCAGCTCTTGAAATGAAGGAGTTTCTACAAAAAAACAACAGAATATTTTATAATACTCAACATCTTCTACTATTTTTTCCACCTTCTTCAAACATTTGAGCTTTTCAGCTTTATGAGATATTCCATTTACATAATAAAAAACCCCATGATTTGTCATTTCTCATGACCTAAATGTGATATGGAGAGCCAAAAGGAAATAAGAGTTGTCAGAATGCCAGATAAGCATAATACTTCCTACCTCCTCTCACCTCCACCCCAGTCAGGAAATTAATTTCATCACTGCAAGGGGAGGGAAGTGCCTTTTTTAAAAAAATAAATTACATATTCATTTAAATTTCAGTTTTATTCCATTACCTCTAAGAAAGGTTCAAAATAAACTTTTACAGAAGGAGCATACTGTGGCTAAGCTTGTTAAAACAGGACTACCTTAAAACTCCCTAATAGCATGTTTCCTGCAGTGGAGATAATTATGGAAAAGTTCAAGTGCAAAATGATGTGCTAATTAATTTAACCTTTTATTATTGTTTATAAAGGTAACATATAAAATAGAAAACAACCCTACAATATGTTTCCATAAAAAGATTACAGTTTCATACCTACGGTGCCTTTGAAACTCAAGAAAGTTCCTTGACCTAAGTCCTTAATAGATGCAGGCCAAAAGTGGAATTGAGTGGCATATGCTAAATCTGCTAAAGGATGGCCAGAAGTTGAAAGTTCCCAGTCCAGCACTGCCAAAACACGAGCCTTAAATAAAAACAAAAACCTCAAGTGAATGCTAGAAGATAAATTCTCCCCATTCACAAATGTACAACCCACTTCAATACCCAACAGCTTTATTCAGTTACTATGTGTTTATAATTAAAAACATGCACTGTACCTGTCTACAGCACAACCAGTTCCTTTTAGCACTATATAAGGATCTGTAGAAAATTAACATTTACATAGTGACAGAAAAAACAGGCATTTTTCCAACTAAAATCTGTTTTAAATTCCACATTTTTGAGTTCTTCCTGTCACAAACTTCTAAACTCTTTTAGCCAAAATATGATTAAAAAAAATATCCTAAAGAACAGTAGTATTGCCAGGAGTGGTTTTTTTTTTTTTGTTTCCAGTCCTGTTCAATAGACACTGTTGCCCCATCCTTTTGCAGAGATACTCATGGACAGATCAGGCATTAAAAAAACTAATTTATCACGATATTATGCATAGATTAGCACTTATATGGGGAGTTGAATTTCTTAATTTCTTAAACAGGGCAGTCAATCACTGCCCAGCTAGTGACACAAGCCTCTGCTGCAAGCATCCTTGGATATGGTGTCTTCAGCTGTATGGGCTGAGACTTCCCAAACTGTCGTTCTGATGAATTCATATAATTCAGCTGGCCTGTCATCCAGACCAGCCCCTCCAGCCTATTCACAATCCATGGCTACCTGAACTATGTGCAAAAAACCCTCTCCTATATGGTCATTCCTGGATATACAGGAACAGTTTCCACAGATTCCCTGTACTTGGCACTGGTGAGGCCGCACCTCGATTCCTGTGTTCAGTTTTGGGCCCCTCACTACAAAAAGGACATTGAATGACTCGAGCGTGTCCAGAGAAGGGCAACGGAGCTGGTGCAGGGTCTGGAGCACAGGTCGTACGGGGAGCAGCTGAGGGAACTGGGGGGGTTTAGTCTGGAGAAGAGGAGGCTGAGGGGAGACCTCATCGCCCTCTACAGCTCCCTGAAAGGAGGGTGCAGAGAGCTGGGGATGAGTCTCTTTAACCAAGTAATAAGTGATAGGACAAGAGGGAATGGCCTCAACTCGTGCCAGGGAAGGTTTTGACTAGGTATTAGGAAGCATTTCTTTCCAGAAGGGGTTGTTAGGCGTTGGAATGGGCTGCCCAGGGAGGTGGTGGAGTCCCCATCCATGGAGGTGTTTAAGAGTTGGGTTGACATAGCGCTGAGGGATCTGGTGTAGTTGGGAACTGTCAACGTTAGGTCAATGGTTGGAGACTGGATGATCTTCAAGGTCTTTTCCAACCTAGACAATTCTGTGATTATTTAAATTTTCAGCTACTTCAGGAACAGCTGGGAGAGTGCCTGAGACTGACAGATTCTCCACTCAGGGAGTCAATGAGCACATCTGACAACTGACAAACAGTGTCTATCAACTGATCTATGCGCAACAGTGGGAATCCCTGGGATATGTTGCTTTGTTGTGAAGCACGCATTGTCGAGTCTTGGCCACAAATCCCAGACATATCTTCTGGTCACAACCCAGCAAATAGCATGGAAAAAAATAATGAAAATGCAATTATGTTGATAGACAAGTAACTTACAGACATTTATTTCCACAAACAAACAAAAAAATAATCTTCCTTTTCTCTAAAGATGAAAAATTTTGGGGGTCTCTGTGATCTACGTGTGCTCTGTAACTAAGCAGCTTTGGCAGATTTTTCATTACTTCTACTAGCGTCACATATCATGCAGTCAGATCCTGTTCCAAAAGCCACTGCTGTTAAATGAAGCCATACCACAAATTTCAACAGGCTTTGGATCAGATAGATGCTTACGTAGTTTAATGAAGTGAGCCTTCTGTATGTCTTTAAATTGCACTGAATTCAATAGGATTTATGCCTATAAAATATTTTGTTCCTGGGCTTTGAAGCAGGGACTAGAGCTAATGAATAAACTGAGTAAGTGGCTCCCTCAATGAAAACCAGTACTGTATTAGGTACCTAAACAGCATACACTTGAGCATAGAGAAGAGTTAAGTTCCCTACTGTTCCTTCAAATACATATCATGCCCTAAAACATCCACACATCTTATTACATGGTAGGAATACAAACAAATGAAGGACCAAGAGCTACTAAACATGTACAAATACATTTCAAATACCTCTGTTGGGTGGAAGATGATGTTATCTATTCTAAAGTCCCCATGAATCAGGCTTTCTTCATTATCATGAGGTGGCAAGTTGTTTGCTAACCACTCAGCCAGCTTGTTCATGGCAGGAATATCTGTATGAGCAGCTGCATCATATTGTTTTTTCCAAGTTGATACCTAAAGAAATACAAACGCTTCAACAGATTCTCCAGCTGATTCACAAGTTTTTCAAAAGCACAAAATTCTGAAGCACATGCTTCTGGGCTTTAACTATTACTATGTTACCTGTAAAGTCAATAAAACCCAGTGTCTGCATCTGAAAATGTGAACTGTGAGATCAAAAGATGTAGTGAAGACAACCTCTATTTTCTATTTCAATCCTATTTATACAACCTAGATCTAATATTATTCCAAAAGTAAATGAATACCATTCCCTGAGTGTAGCATTACAGAACTGATCTGAATGTAGTAGTAACTTTATACTGCGCACAAATAATTGAACTAAGGGAGGGTGTTTAATAGCTAAAATATAATGGTTACTTTTACAAGTCATTAATAATTAAAAATTTAGCTTGCAAATCAAATAAGTCTTCAAAGGTCTAAGACAAGAGAATTCTTCTGAAGTGATGTACCTGTCTTCTGCAGTATCCTGGTCCTCTGCCATATCCTTGGAGACCCAAGGACTGTAAATCAAAGGAGTGTAACAGGGCCAAAGTTTCTATCATTACAATATACAAAGCAGAACGCTCTGCCAGGCCCACTTCAGGCAGTGAGAGGTCTCGGAAGATGCGACCCTAGAAACATCATAGATCAGATATTTGGTGGGATATACACATCAGATGAAGAGAAGTAAAGCTATACATTTCAGGAGCAAAGACAAATGCAGTGAACCAACACTTCCCATACAATCAAAAACTCCTTCCTCATTTATTTTATTCTTTGCCCAGGACAGATGAAGGTATTCACAGTAATCGCAGATCATTAGTATAGAGGATATTTATTGGAAGACAATTAAATTAACAGATATATTCAGTTGACGAAAGTTTGAATCAGAGCACTCAATTGAGATATCCTCGAGCTTGAAAGCACCAGGAAAAATATATGTTACTGTATTGTCTCTAACAGTTAACTTCCAACTGTAACAACAGAGCTGCTATAACTTTTCCATTCTCACTTTACATGCTCAACACACAAATATGAGAAATTCACACCACCACTTACGACTCTGCAGCTACTAACTACATCCACAGAAAGGACAAATCTCATCACCAGCACTAACTTGTCTCCCCCTGGCAGCTGAATTTCTCACTGGTGTGCAAGTTTCCCAGATCTCTGCTTTGTGGCAGTTGCTCTTGTTGCTGCTGTTATATTTTGCAGTCGTTATTGCAGATACGCAAAAGCAAGTACATATATTTATGAATAACGATTCATTTCCTTTACAACCTATTATATTTGTTTTAACAACCTTCAGGATGAATTTAGGAAGACAATTTAAAAGGGGCGTGGTTCAGACTCATGTAAAATTGATTAGCATATCAGAGAAATTAAACTATTTCTAATTCCAACTCCATAAAATAAATAGAAACATTACATGTGTTGGTCATATGCCAGTGCACACAACTCACTTAGCGGATACCCTGTGACAGTAACTTGTTTGTTTTTATACCCGTATTTCATCTTTTATCAGAACACTCCAGATTTTTCCGAGTTGACAGACTATGCACATGGCTTATGTACGTTATTTGTATCAGTTACAGTCAGGTCTTCAGGAACAACAGCAAGTAAGTGACACATGACATGTCAAAGACAATAAGTGTGTGGTGCACAGTCTAGGAAGCCATTAAATGAACAAGCCCACTCATCCTCTGTGGCGAACATATGAGCGTGCAGTGAACATGAAAAATACACTCATCAGATCAGATGACAGACCTCAGCAAACACACCGTTCCTACAGGAAGCAATTTGTTTTCAAATGATGCTCAGAAATCACAAAGCCAGATGATGCTGTGATTAGCCTGACCTACAACATTAATGCAGTCCTTTCTCCAGCACAGTAGCCAATGAAAATTAAAATCATAACAAAACAGAAGTGCTGAAAAACAGACTGATGACTAAATCCACAGGGATCAAGAGGCTAAATTCTAGACTGAGAACATTAATGAAGGATACAGTTCCACATTACACTTAGTTCAACCTAACTACTACTTGCCTACCTAACAAACCAACCAGCTGCACAATTCAACAGAAAATGGTTGTTGGAGGGCAAGCAGCACCCAGCACAGCTACCACTGCCTCTCATCAGACAAGCAAGGTGATCCCACTCACCTGGTGGCAGCCGCACGTCCCTGGCACCCACTGAGCAGTCCCTGGCACCCACTGAGCAACCGTGCAAAGAGAAGAAGGAAGCAGCATTGTTCCTTTTAGCAGCAGCTGATTAAATCTGACATTGAACTGTACTCTTCAAAGAGCTGCTTTAACGTCTAAATAAGAATAATAAGAGAATCTCTCTCAAATACAGAGAAATATATGCCTAAAAATTAGTTCCTATCTTAAAAGTAAGATGTAGAATAGCTTGATGTAGGCAGTTTTCAGTGTGAACTTTGTACGTGTTTCTAGACATTAGCATAGCTTCCCAGCTTTTATAACAGGCACCCGTGTTGCATTACCTGAGAGCATTAACACATATCAAATATCACCTGATAATCAATATTAACAAGTAGAATCATTAATATTTTCCACCTACAAACTAGTATTATATAAGTAAACATTTTCAATAAAGATCAAGTCCCTGCACAAAAGAAACCCTGTATCTTAGACTACAGAAGATACAAAGCTACCAATTTGCTTCAGTCAGGTGAGATACTGCATTTTGAGAAACCTAGTGTCATAAAGGAAGCAAATAAACTGTGAAATACAACTCCAGGTAGCAGAACAGATCTTATCCTAACGGAAATTTAGTAATTGTATTAAGTAAAGAAGTTTTACCCACCAAAAACAATGCTACCATGCTCATTAACTGCAATTACATAATGTCCTTTGTAAATGTACCTTAAAAACGTTAAATGAAAATTTTATTCAACCTGCTTTAAGTACACAAAATAAACCAAGCTTCAGCATGTTCACACAAGCTTAGAAGTCTTCAGTAAAATTTCACATATAAAAATGAAGCTTCTCAGTATAGTATTTCAATCATATAGCAAGAGAAAACAGTTCTCAAGAAGATCAAACCATTAATAAATCACATCCAAGTAAAACACCTGCAGTTTAAAGTGGCACCATAGGCAACTGGAAGATGCTATGCCATATTGGATGCCCCTGTGTTATGCTCTCAAAATCAGCAGCTTCAGCAATCCAACTCCCAGAAAAGAACAAACTTTTCTCCCACTAGGTTGAACCCTAACAAGACCAGCTTCCACACATAGCGATCCCAGCCTGAGACCAAAGGAGAAGTGGATAAGGTGGAGGCTGCAGAAAACACACTGCAGTGACAGTGAGTTTAAGGTGCCAGCACAGGGAGAGGACAAGGAGGCTGCAGGGACCAGTGTTCCAAAACACAGGAAAGCACAGGTATGACAAGCCAGCTCCCTAGCATAGCCATGCAGACCTGACAGGTTAGTAACCCTCCTGGCTTCACATCGGCAGCCCCAGCTGCTCTGTCTCCTCTGCCCTTGGCCCAAACATCTGCACTACCTCTTCTTCATCCACAGCTGCAGCTCCAAGCATCCTTCAGAGCTGTGCACAGGACCCAGATGGTCTGGCAGTGGCAGCTGCTTAAAATGCTGTTGCCTTCCTA